GGGGGGGGGGGGGGGGGGGGGGGGGGGGGGGGGGGGGGGGGGGGGGGGGGGGGGGGGGGGGGGGGGCATTTTCATGTAATACATGAGATAAGATCACAACTTGCGACACAACTATGGGCCCCATGTTCGACGAAGAAAAATTGCGGAAGAACTGTCGGTCTGACTTTCATGAAACATTCTGACAAGAAATCGCAGAGTAACGCACTTGACAAGAAATCACGCGCGCGGGGTAACTGTGATAGATGGCGTGCCAGTTAACGGGTTATGAATGTTGCTTCGGGGATCGGCTTGGGTGAGACCACTTTGGGAAAAGTTGTCTGTTCTTGTTCATTCCGAACCGGGGGCCAGGGCGAGAGAGTCGATGAGGTGGGAGGTAGGTGGATGGTGGCCTTGCCACAAACGTTATCGTAGCTTTGCAGGCACAACCGCGTCTGTATCGGCCACAACGACAACGGCGGCAGCGACACCTAACCCCCTCTCCTTGTAAGACCACGGTGTGTATGTTTTCTTCTCGTTGCCACAACGGCAGCGCGGCTTCAGAGAAATTACTCTCAACCGCAGTGACAGCAACACAGCAGCAGCAGCAGCAGCAACAATAACCACAACAGCAAAGACAGTAGCAAAACCAACAACAGCAACAGCACAGCGACGACGACGACTACTACGACGACCAGCAACAACTACAGCAGCAACCACCGCAGCAATAGCAGCAGCAGCAGCAGCAACATCTAATCCTCTTCCCGTGCAACACCCCGCGCTGTCTTTTTTTTTTTTTTTTTCAAGGGTGATCACGGCTAACGCTGCGGGTCTCTCTGTCGGTAAGGAAGGGCCCCTCATCCACATCACGTGTGCTATGGCGGACATCCTCATGTCCACGCCGTGGTTCAAGAAGGTGCGTGTAAGGTACAAGCGTAATCGATGCCTTGTCTCGGACAAGTTTTTTTTTTGTGACCTTGCAAAGGTTGTTTGTTTCTGGGCAAGCTGTGACGCTTTTCCTTGTTGCTGTTACCGGTAAGAAGACGTGTGCATGGTACAAGGTGCACAACGCAATACCCTGCTTTGGGGAAACTAGTTTTGGTTGTAAGGCTCAAACACGTGTTTTCAAGATGCTGGACCAGATGTCTTTGTCTCTTAGGGACTTTGTTCATTCCGGACAAGCTCTTACACATCTATTTGTCGGCTGTGTAACGTTACGTTTAGTTCCGTTTCTTCCCCGCGATTACACGGAACATCTGCGGCGCATCAATCATATGCCGCTATATACATTCACTCTCGGCGTGTAGATTCAATCGGCCGTGGAGGTTTTACAACTTCGCCTCCTCGTTCTCTTCGTTCCTCTCGCGTCGGTCCTTCTCTCATCAGCTGCGCGTGTCTGCTCTTTGCTGCCGCCTCTACTGCCACTTTAGATATACATCCGTTGCTGCGGTCAACCCCCCAAGGATGATGACCAACTTCCTGGCTCATCCTTGTGAAACGCGTATAGCCTTGGCCGGCCAAAATCCGGCATTTCGCTCCTCCGTCCCGGCGTTGTATGTAGGGATGCGAGGTCAACGGTCTATCGACTACGGCATGCGCTTACATTAGTACCCCCCCCCCCCCCCCCCCCCCCCCCCCCCCCCCCCCCCCCCCCCCCCCCCCCCCCCCCCCCCCCCCCCCCCC